TGTCTGTCCGTACTTCTGTCCGTCCATGTGTCTGTCTGTCCCTCCATCCGTCTGTGTGTCTGTCCGTCTGTCCACTTGTCCGTCTGTCTGTCCGTCCGTCCGTGTGTCTGTCTGTCTATCCTTCTGTCGGTCTGTCCGTCCATCTGTCTGTCTGTCCTTCTGTCCGTCTGTCTGTCCGTCCTTCTGTCCATCCATGTGTCCATCTATCTGTCCATTTGTCCGTCTGTCCGTCCATCTGTCTGTCCTTCCGTCCGTCTGTCCATCCTTCTGTCCGTCTGTCTGTCCTTCTCTCCGTCCGTCTGTCCGTGTGTCCATCTGTCCGTCCTTCCATCTGTCCTTCCGTCTGTCTGTCCGGCCGTCCTTCTGTCCGTCTCTCCGACCGTCCTTCTGTCCGTCCATCTGTCTGTCCATGTGTCCCTCTGTCTGTCCAGCCGTGTGTCCGTCCATCCGTCCTTCTGTCTTTCTGTCCGTCTGTCCTTCCGTCCGTGTGTCCATCTGTCTGTCCGTCCATCCGTCTGTCCGTCCTTCTGTCCATTTGTCCATCTGTCCGTATGTCTGTCCGTCTGTCTGTCCTTCTGTCTGTCCCTCCGTCTGTCCGTCCGTCTGTCCGTATGTCCTTCTGTCTGTCTGTCCGTCTGTCCGTCCATCCGTCCGTCTGTCCGTCCTTCTGTCTGTCCGTCTGTCCTTCCGTGTGTCCATCTGTCTGTCCGTCCATCCGTCTGTCCGTCCATCTGTCCGTCCTCCTGTCCGTTTGTCCATCTGTCCGTATGTCTGTCCATCCATCTGTCTGTCTGTCCTTCTGTCTGTCCTTCCGTCCGTCCGTCTGTCCGTATGTCCTTCTGTCTGTCTATCCATCTGTCTGTCTGTAAGTTTGTCCGTCCATGTGTCCATCTGTCTGTCCATCCGTCCATCTGTCTGTCTGTCTGTCCATCCTTCTGTCTGTCTGTCCATCTGTCCTTCTGTCCGTCCATGTGTCCGTCTGTCTGTCCATCCTTCTGTCTGTCCTTCTCTCCGTCCATGTGTCCGTCTGTCTGTCCATTTGCTCGTCTGTCCATCCTTCCGTCTGTCCATCCATATGTCCGTCCTTCTGTCCGTCTGTCCTTCCATCTGTCCATCTATTTGTCTGTCCATCTGTATGTCCTTTCGTCTGTCCTTCCGTCGGTCCGTCTATCTCTCCGTCCGTCTGTCCATATGTCCTTCTGTCTGTCTGTTCTTCTCTGTGTCCGTCTGTCTGTCTGTCTGTCATTCTGTCCATCTGTCCTTCTGTCCGTTCATGTGTCCATCTGTCTGTCCATCCATCTGTCTGTCCATCCATCTGTCAGTCCGTCTGTCCATCTGTCTGTCCATCCATCCGTCTGTCTGTCCCTCTGTCTGTCTGTCCAACTGTGTGTCTATCCGTCCATCTGTCCATCCATCTGTCCGTCCTTCTGTCGATCCATCTGTCCGTCCGTCCTTCTGTCCGTCCATGTGTCTGTCTGTTCCTCCATCCGTCTGTCCATCCATCTGTCCGTCCGTCTGTTCATCCGTCTGTCTGTCCGTCTGTCCATTTGTCCATCTGTCTGTCCTTCTGTCCGTCTGTCTGTCC